TCTGTTCCAGGCCAAGTCTCCAGGTACCTATAACAATGCCTGGCACCCGGTAGGTGCTCAATGAATGTTTGTCCTCCTGCAAAAATTAACCTTCAAATGCGATGCGATCCCAAAGTCCCAACTAGATCTTTTACCAGGTGCCAACGAGCTCAGGAAAAGATTCGTGTACGACTAGCTACAGGTGATGTATTATATTATGAATGTGCTGAATGCTGCTGGATTCTTCACTTTAAAATGATTACATTTCGGGAAACTCCCTGGCGGTCTAGTGGTTAGGACTCTGCCCTTCCACTGCAGGGGGCACGGGTTCAATCACTGGTTGGGGAACTAAGATCCCACATGCCGCCCAGTGTGGCCAAGAAAATAAATAAATAAAATAAAAATAAATAAATAAAATGATTACGTTTCCGGGACGAAGCGAGAGAGTGGCACGGCCAGATAAACACTACCAGATAGCTAGTGGGAAGCAGCCGCATGGCACAGGGAGATCAGCTCGGTGCTTTGTGACCACCTAGAGAGGTGGGATAGGGAGGGTGGGAGGGAGACGCACGAGGGAGGCGATATGGGGATACATGTATACGTATAACTGACTCACTTTGTTATACAGCAGGAACTAACACCCCATTGTAAAGCAATTATCCTCCAATAAAGATGTTTAAAAAAAAAGATTACATTTCTGTTATGTGAATTTCACTTCAGTAATAATAATAAAGTACAGCGTAATACCGTCGCACACCTGTGAGAATGGCTAAAATCAAAAAGACTGCCCACATCAGGTCATGCCAAGGCTGCAAGGAGATGAAAATATATACATTGCTGGGGGCGGGGGAAGGAAAGTAAGGGCACATCCACTTCGGAAAACACGTTGGCGATTTCTTTAGAATTTAAATATACACCTACCATATGATGCAACCACTGCACTCCTGGGTAGTTTACCCGAAAGAACTAAAAGCAGATGAACGCGCTTACACGTAAGTGTTCTCAGCAGCTTTATTTGCAATCATAAAAAACTGGAAACCACCTAGATAGCCATCAACAGAGGAATTAGGTAAGTGGATGTGGAACAGCCGTACAGTGGAGTACAGCTCCGCCATAAAAGCGAGCTCACTTTTCCTACATGCAAATCACTTTTCCTACATGCAAATCACTTTTCCTACATGCAAATTATTGTAAAATAATTGTGTCAGGTAAAAACTGCCAGACCCAAAAAAAGAAAAAAAAAAAGAAAAGGTACATACTCCATGATTCTAGAAATGCAGCTAATCTACAGTGTCAGAGCCAGTTGGTGGTTGCCTGGGTAATGTGGTGGTAGGGGTGGGAGTGGCAAAAAAAGGGACACAAGGAGACTTTTGGGGGAAGAACCTGGCAAACATGATGCTCAGTGAGAGAAGCCAGACACCAAAGGCCACCTATGGTACGATTCCATTTATACAAAATGTCCAAAAGTCCAGAGAGACAGAATGTGGATCTGTGGTTTTTGTGGTTGCCGGGATGGGGCTGGGAGAGAGGAGTGACCGCTAACGGGGAAGGGGTTTCTTTTCGGGGGGAATAAAAATGTCTTGCCACTAGACAGGTGAGGGTTACACAACACTGCAAGTGTACTAAATACATTGTAGGCTTTAAAACAGTTAATGGTTAATTTCATGTTCTGTGAGTTTTCCAATTAAAAAAAAAAAGAGAAATGGTGAGAGCTGGATAAAGATATACACACGCACACACACACACCCTGGACCCCCCCTCCCCATCTTCACCACTGCAGCCCACACACATCCCCGCCACTCCATCCCCTCCCTTCTCAGGCCCATCAGAATTTCCCCAGGTACTGGGACCCGTGCCCACTTGACCATGTCCCCCTCCTTGTGGGCTCCCCAAACATCCCTCCCTTTTCAACCTTGACCCTCTCTGGAGTTTCTTGGAAGCCAGTCACTGGGCTTGCTGCCTATAGGATGGGGTGGGCAGCTGGCAGCACAGGGTGACCCTGCTTGAGAGAACAAAGGCAGCTGAAACCTGGCCTGCTCATGCATGAAGGGCATTTGCACCTGTGGCTGCCCCAATGTGCAGGTGACAAAGCTGGCCCTGAGACAGCAAAGCCACCTGCCCACAGCCAGTCAGCTGGCTCCAGTGGACAGGAGTTGCCCACTCCAGCCTGCCCATTCCCAGCTCGTGCCCTCTGCCCCCGTGGTGGCCCCAATGAACTAGGCCTCCCTGGTGTTCGTGCCCCTGTGTGGCCCCCACCTGTGCCCCCAGCACACACCTGGGCTGACCTGAGACCCTGCTGAAAGCAGCAGGAGCGATGCTGGCCCAGTTCTGGACCTGAGCATTCGAAGCATTAGAAGGGTTTTGGCTCTGCGCTTTGGGGAAACCCGAGTCACCAGAAAAGGGATGCGGCCGTCCTGCTTGGGTGCCCACGTGGAAGGGCCATCCAGAGAGGCCACGTAGAGAGGGAGAGGCGTCCCCATCCACCCATGCGCCAGACACGACATTGGCACCGTCCAATGACATGGTAACATCCAGCCAGTCCAGCCCCCAGATGCCAGCAGCCACCATTCACGGGGAAACAAAGAGCCGCCAGCCAGGCCAGTCAACGTGGAACCACAAAAGGGAATATGCCGGTGGTTGTGTGGAGCCCGTCAGCGCAGGGTGGTTTGTACCACCGATCACTGAGAATCCAGCTGACACCCGGGAAGATCCAGACCCTAGACCTCAGCTCAGGTGGCGTCTGACACCGGCCTCACCCCCCTAACATGCCCTGTTGGCCCACTGCAGCTGTCCACACCTGAACAAAAACGAAGGGGGAAAAAAATCTAAAAACAAGAAAATGCTACTCCCTGGCATAACTCCCTCCTGCCAACTAGAAGAAGCCCACCAGGGTTCCAGTTCTGCAGCAGGAAACCTCGGCCCAGCTCAGGGGCTGGGAGGTATCCAGCAGGCGCCGGTGGAAGGCCTTGTACCCCAGGCACCTGGGCGCCCTCTGGTCCACCGTCAGTCAAAGTCCCCCAATCCTGGCTGCAGCCCACCTCCCAAGCCCCCACGGCTGCCCGACAGAGAACTCGGGCCCCTCACAGGCTTCCTGAGGCCCAGACTCCAAAGCCCATTGGGAATTCCAGATCCCACGAGACATGCTGCATGGACCAAAATAAACAAACAAACAAACCTCCCATGGGGGGCGGAGCCCCAATGCTGAACTTTCCCACCCTTCCCACCCCCAGGAAGATCTATCTTCTCCCAGCATGTTGTCATCAGGGACCAGCTCCCTGCTTGCTGGATGTCAAAGCCGCGAGACCCTGTATGGGACCCTGGGTGCTCCCCTGGGCTACCAGGGCCCCGGCCACCACATTCGGAGATGAAGAAAATGAAGGTCAAAGAAGAGCCGTGTCCTCATCACCCAGCAGTTACGGGGTGTATTAACTACACTTTCTGTATTCTTTTTCTGTGGCCGCGCCACACGGCTCGCAGGATCTTAGTTCCCCAACGAGGGATTGAACCCAGGCCCTCGGCAGTGAAAGCGCGGAGTCCTAACCACTGGACCGCCAGGGAATTCCCAGTTTCTGTATTCTTGACACCCTGTCAGCTGAGGCCTCACTGACCGGGAAGGGGCTGTCCCTCAAGGGGTTAGCGAGTTCCTGGAGATGACAAACAAGTAACCAGTGAGTGTACCTCTCCTATGCATACCAGGCAATCCAGAGCCACTGTGCCCCTTCCCTGCTCACCCCAGGGCCACTGTAGTGTGAGTGCCTGACATTAAGCAGGATCTTAGTTCCCCGACCAGGGATTGAACCCGTGCCCCCTGCAAGGGAAGCGTGGAGTCCTAACCACTGGACTGCCAGGGAAGTCCCTGACGTTAAGCTTTTGATTGCCAACACCCACCATGAACAAACACACAGATAGCTGCATGACACAGCTACCAGCAACACAACCTACCTGGTTATTAGCTACCCCAACCTAGGAAGGTCCCCTTTTCAGAAACCCTAGGCAACCTTGACAAGTGACGCCTTGAACGACCCCGCTTTCCCTTATGGCACCCTAATTCCAGCTCTTATGCTTTATATTCAATAAAGAGGGAATCCGAGACTCCGACCCCCGGACCCTAATAAAGGCAGAGACCCAGGTCTGCGTTCCCTCCCTCTCTCTCTCCCCACGATCTTGCTCCGTGGCCCTCAGAGGGGGTGCCTGCTGTGTACCCTCCAGAACCAGTGAGTAACGAATCTTGTTCTGCCAAGTTCCCTGATGGTTTTTCCTGAAGTACGTCCTGTGATCATGATAAGAACCACGAGGGCCGGCCTAGCCACAATGCTGGCTCTAGCTGGGGTAACGTCTGTGAGGGCCTTGCTGTAAGTAGTAGGGGCCCAGGTGTCCTCAGATGCTGCTCTCTGAAAGCCTTGCCATCGATAGGCTGAGATGTACACGATACTCAGTGCCGACACCCCAGAGCCCATGGAAATTACTCAGTCTAGCCAGTTCCAAGCCTGTTTACCCTGCCTCACCCATTCCTCCCAGTGGAAACCACAATAAAAGCTCCTGTCCATGTTGTTCCCTCTCGCTCTGCCTCCTGATGGACCCTGGTGCTTCCCCGTGTGGTTCCACATGGCCTGTTATGCCCTTCCTCTTGGGATCGGTGAGTAACAAAGTGTCTTTTCAGTGGCAGTCATCTGCTGATCTGTTGGCCTTGGCATAGCTGCATAATGAGAAGACCTACATTTGGAAACAGGGTGGAGACCAACCTGGGGACACCCAGCTTCCATCTCAAAGAGAAGAAGCCATAATGGATGGAGGTCCCCCAGCCCAGGACTCTGGGAGGCACTGCCCAAGGTCTGCTCCATTTGGGGGATGCAAACTGTCCTGCTGCCCCCAGCCCCACTGTCCCCTGCTCTGGATTCCAGGAAGCCAGAGGCAGGGTCCCCAACTCCCACCCTCTCTGGGCTTGGGTGCTCCAGAGGAGGGGCTGCAGCAGAGCCCCCAGGCTGCCCAGGCAGAGGGAGACAGAGGCCCAGAGGCAGGCAGAAGACGTGAAGCAACTTTAATCACCACCCTCAGGAGGGGGCAACAGTAGTATCTGAGCAGGGGGGCCAGCCCGGGAATGACCTAGGGCCAGCCCCTCGGTTCTGGCTGTGGCACGTTCCCCGGATATCTGAGCAGGGGGGCCACCCCGGGAACGACCTAGGGCCAGCCCCACGGTTCTGGCTGTGGCACGTTCCCCATCCAGGCTCCTCGAGTCCAGGGGAGGGTCTGGACACTCCCAGCCTCCACGATCACATCTGCAGGAGCTCAGGTACTTGGCGCCACGTGGCCAGAAGAACCCAGGTCTGGGGGCTGGTGTGCCAACAGCCACGCGCGGGTCCCCATACCTGCCATACTCGGGACCGTGTGACGTGGCAGCAAGAAATCATCCTCAGAGAACTGAGGCCGTCCTCTCTGACTGCAGAGACCCCTTCACAGACACCAGCAGCCCCAGCGGGGACAGGCGTCCCTGGGCACAGAGCCGTGACCACGTGAAGAGGATGGCGGCGGCCAGACCTACACTTAGCACCACTGTGGGGGACAGAAAGACAGGAGTGGGTGAGGGGAGGGGGTGGCAGGAGGCTCACACCCACCGAGCTCCTAACACACTGGAAAGGGGGTTCTGCAGCCTGCCGGCTCCCAGGAGCAGCTGCTCCAAGCCCCAGGGGTGGGAGGACCTGTTTATCTTACCAGCAGCTGCAATGATCCCATAGGCACTTCGGTTTCCAGACTGAACTGAGTCCCGGTCCCCGACAGAGGTGACTGTGGCATTCCTGAGATAAGTGACACTCTCCAGGGTCACAGGGGTCCCCATGGACGTGGCACTCCCTTCTTGGAGGGTCTTGGTTCCTGCAATAAGTCCAGGCATTCAGTAGCTGGGGAGGGGGCACCTGGGGCATGGGGGGATGAACAGATGTTTCTGGTGCCCAGGGGGGACCTTAGGGCTCACCCTCCATCCCAAATTCAGTGAGGTTGGTGAGCCCTGCTACCCGAGTGCCCTCGTGCAGCCGCCATGGGAATACGGGCACAGGCAGACACACGTGTCCACGCTCCCAGCCTTGTCATACACTGGAAGGTGTCAGGCGTCCCTGTCTACCGACCCACCCTCCCCGCCCCCACAGGCACACACCACAGCCAAGCTCATCGCTGGAGTCGGAACAGTCCGGGTGGCCATCGCAGAGCCACGTGCGTGGGATACAGGAACCGCCCAGCGGGCAGCGCAGCTCTCCCTCCGGGCAGGGCTGGTGCCCGCAGTTGAGAACATTCTTGTTGATGCCATCAGGGCAGTCATCGATGCTGTCACAAGAGCAGGGGCTGCCAGTGGGTGGCTTGCACTGCCCATCCTGGGCACACGGCTCAGTACCTGGGGTACAAGGTGAGTCAGGTCTCAAACACCCAGCCAAGAGGGCCCAGGTACTCCCCACAGCCCAACCTCCTGCAAGCCCCGCCTTCCGAGAACAATCGACCCTATATGTTTCGCCCATCCCAAAGGCTCCTCCCCCTGCTTCTGTTAGCTCCACCTTCCAAGGACTCGCCTCCCCGCAAGCCCTCCCTCCCGACCCCACTAACTCCGCCCCGCTGCAAACCCACCTCTCCCCAGACCTCCTTCTTTTCAGGCCCCGCCCACCCCAGAGTGCCCTGTCTGAAAGCCACATCCCTTCCACAAGCACCTCCTCCCTGTGGCCCCACCCCTTGCAAGCCCCGCCCCCAGGGCATGGCCACTCACTGCACTCCTCCTCGTCACTGCCATCAAGGCAGTCCTTGTCAACGTCGCAGCGCCAGGTGAGGGGCACGCATAGGCCATCACTCCTGCACTGGAAGTTGGTGGGCGGGCACGAGGCTGCGCTGGGGCCTGAGAGATGCACACAAGTGAGGCCTGGGAGGTCTGGACCCTCCTTTGGAAGCACAGTGTCACAGGCTGCGACCACCAGGAGACAGGCCAGGTCCCAGGAACTACATTGGTGGTCACCCTTTGCTAAGGATGCACTATGTGTGGGCCTTGGAGCTGAGCAGTTCACAGCCTCACCAAGAGCCCTACTGGGCAGATTCTACTCCCATGCCCATTCTACACAAGACACTTAGGAGAAGTAAGGCCTGAGGCTACAAGCTAGTGGCAGAGTCGGGGTTCGAACCCAGGTCTCACTGATCCCGGGGTCTTTACCCGGCTCCAAATGGCCAGATGGTCTCCCCAGGAGTCTCTCCAAGTTCCGTGGTTAAACAGACTGGGGGAGGAGCCATCTCTGAAGCTGGCCTGGCTCAGGCCCACCTGTCAGGGTCAGCAGGGCCCATTATGTCCCAGCTGCTCAGCAAAGGGGAAACTGAGGCCTTGGGTAGAGGACCTGCTTAGTCACTGTGGCTTGTCGACTCACCCACTAAACTCCTCCCAGATCTGACCACTTTCCCCATCCTGAATGTGCCACCACCTCTCCAGATTCCCCACCCCCATCTCCACTCAGACACCGGAGACCTCTCAGCACCACACCATTTGGTCACCCACCCTTGCCCCCCTTTGCTCAAAAACAGCCCTTGGTCAGAAATAGAGACACAGATGTAGAGAATAAACGTATGGACACCAAGGGGGGAAAGTGGCAGGGTGATGGTGGTGGGACGAATTGGGATTGACATATATACACTAATATGTATAAAAGATAACTAATAAGAACCTGCTGCATAAAAAAATAAAATAAAATTCAAAAAAACCCAGAAACCCAGCCCTTGGTCCCATGACCCTCTCACAACCAAATTCTACAACCTCCATGTGGCCCGCAAGTCCTGAGCAGCCCTGAACCCTCCCTGGACCTCCCACTTTCCCCCTCTTCATCAAGCTCCCTCTGACCCGGCCACCTTGATGCTTCTGCAAGAGGCCTGGCCTCGTTTTCCCCCTCAGGGCTTTTGCCCATGCTGTTCCCTGGCCCAGTTTGCCCTCTCCTCCCTCCTCTCTGCACCTCGTGATTTCCTCCTCAGACTTCACAGTCTCAGCTTATTTCCTGGGATGGGCCTCAGGCCCCTCTCAGAGACCCCTGAAGCTCAGCCTCCCACTTAGAACAATGGCCCTTGAACTGGCACCCGCGTAGACTGGACACTTAGTGGTGGTCAGGGCAGTGACCTTTTGACTGTAAACCCGGGGCAGCGCCTAGTGATAAGTGGACACAGGTCACACAATGGTCCGGGCTGAGTCCAGCTGAGATGTGAGCCTTCCTGGACCCAGAGCAGGATGAACACAGAAGGGCCTGGAAGCGGGGCCATCAGGCGGGAGTCCAAGGGACAGAGGAAGGGAGTGGGCTTTATGGTTTCCTCCTGGGTGCAGCAGGGAGGGTGGCAGATACCTGGCTTGGCCCCAGCCTAGTCCCCCTCCATACAATCCTGGTCCTCTTGTCCCTTCCACCTTTACTCACGAGGGCCTGTGCCTCCAAGCCCCCACTCCCCACAGCCAGCCCCTCCGCAGGCCGGCCTCCAGGCCCAACTGTGCCTGTGGGCCACACAGTCCCTAAGCTCTGTGGAGCCAACTGCAGCTGACTTCCTTCCCTGCCCATGGGGATCTGGCAACCTAAAGCTTCCTCCCCAGGACTTGCCACTCTCCCTAGCAACCTCTGACCTCCTTCCCCGGCCTGCTGGAGCATGTGTCCTTCTGTAAAGTGGGTTGGCAGCAGAACAGAGTGGACCTGGCTTCACAGGGCTTTGGTTTGGAGCAACCAGTGGTTGCACCTCCCAGCCTCAGTTTCTCCACCTGTAAAAGGGGCACGCTAGGAGTCCCTACCACAGTGTGCTAAAGAGAAGAGACTGCTTGCGTGTAGAGTGTGGTACTTGGTTAACGTGAGTCCTGATCCTTGTAGGAACCAGGACCATTTAGCCTGAAAAGGCAGGGGCTTTGGGGTGAGATGGGGAACCAGATAAGACGGTGTGTGAACCTGAGTCACAGCTGAAAGTCAGGGGCACCTGTGAGCACAAAGAGGTCACTCTAACCTGCCCAGCTGCCTCTGGGTACCTCTGAGAGGTCCACCAACATCATTTAGGCCAAGGCAAACGTGTCCAAGGGCCTGGGGTCACAGGGAAGACCTTTTTTTCTCTAAGGCCGGAGAAGGAAGGTGCAGAGATTGGGAGGGCGGGAAACGGTCGCCGAGCAAACTCAGCCACATGGCCCTAGGCGCCAGGGTATGGAAGCCGCAGCTGCTGAAGGCGCCAGGAGACCAGCTCCGTAAGGTTGGAAGTCGGAGAAGCAGAGCCTGTAAAGAACTTTCCTGCCCACGCTGGAGTGAAGGGTCGCTTAGAGGTGACACCGGGGCTTGACAAAGCAAAGCGAGTGTAAGCAGGGCCGAAGCAGGGTAGTTAAAGGCTGGCAGAGCAACCCAGGCGGAGGGTCCCTCACTGGGGAAGGCTCATTCAAGGGCCTGGGTCCCCTAGAGCCACGTGCAGGGGGGAGTGACCGGGACAGACGTGCGGCGCAGCCAACGGTAAGGCGCTGCTGGCGGGCAGGGGCGGAGCTAAGCTGCAGGCTTGGAGGGCGCCGGGGCTGTACGGAGCACACTCACCTGGGGCCTGGGTCAAGGACCATGCCGGGATCGAGGTCGGGGCGGCCTCCAGGCCCAGCCCGAAGCTGAGCAGTACCCGCAGCGCTAGGCCGAGGGCCGCAGCCCGCTGCGCTCGGTCCCCCGCCATCCAACCGCTCATCGCGCCACCCCTGCCTGACGCCGGCTCCGGCCAAGACCAGTCCCTGCCTCGCTCTGATCCGTGTACGCGCGTGCGCAAAGATCCGGGGGGCGGGGCCCACGCCCCAGGCGGGTCCCGAGGCGGCCACGCGTTATGGGTACCGTAAATGTCCGAATGCGAGGGGACCCACTATTTGAGGCTCTTTCCCACTGTTCCCTGTGACAAGGTATATCGAAAGGTATTGGTCCTATTTGAAATTAGAAACTTCTGGAGGTGCAAACGAACTAGTACCGACAAGTCTTGTCAACTTACAATATTTAACATTCCACATGCACCAAATACTCCTGCCTAATTATCCTAATATGGCAGCCACTTCGCCCAGGCACGCCCTCCTCCTGCTTCTCTCGAGCGCCCGACTTATTTACTTTGGTTTATAGTCTGATTCCCCACCAGAACGTCAGGCCCAGGAGGACGGGAACGCTGTGTTGCTCATTGTATCCCCAGTGCCTGGAACTGAGCCTGACACATAGCAGGCTCTTAAATATTTGGTAAATAAATGAAGGAAATGTTGGTTCTCGGTTTTCATCCTGGGTCCTCTATCCCTTGCACCTGGATGTTCTCACCGATGCTCACTACCTCATTAACCCGCATAGGCTCCTCAAAGGGAGGCGGGTCTTATATTTTACTCTGGGAACAAGACAGCCTGGGCTTTCTCTTCTCACGCTCACCCAGTAGGCACATAAAATACAAACCTTCTGCAGGTTTTCTATCCAATTGGCTGCTGTGTTTTATCTACAGCTCTGCCCCTAGGAGAAGCAGCGCTACTGCCAGCAGGCCCCCCAGACAAGTCACTGTCCTCAGCGTTGTAACAGCTGTGCAAATTTCCCGTGAAGCAACACAAAAGCACAGAAAGGCCTCTATTTGCAGGTTGATGGCATCCTTATTCAAAAGTGTTAGAGATTATAGCTGCCTTTGGAGCATATGTATATATATACATATATATAAATTTTTTCATAATCTCCAATTCCCAGGAGACATGGGGTAAGAGGCAAAGGTGCACTGGTGCAGAGGCAGTTGGAAAGGGCAGCAAATAGGACTGACTGCGGCAGGGGAAGGGAGGGGAGGGGAGCGTCCCACACCACCTGTGAGGCTTGGCTTCTTGGTGAGGTTGGCATCTGGGGTCCAGGGAGAAAAACTGAAGAAATTGTGGATTCACCCAGCTGACAATATGTAGCGGCTGAGTGCAGACTCATCAGCGGCTAGGTTCAGGGCCATCTCTCAGTGAGCCTGAGAGTTCTTTGTCTCTTCATGCCTGTTCTTCTGTTGAGGGTAAAAGGGTTTGACAACAGCTATAACCACAGGCTTGCTCCGGGAAGGAACCAAGGTCACAGATATAACGCATTTAGAACGGTACCTGGCATAGAGGAAGTGCTCAAGAGGTGTCAGACCTCTTTCTTACTGCAGTCCCTCGCCAAACTTCAAGTCTGGGTCATAAATCCTTTTTTCTTTTTTTTGGCTTATACGGTAAACGACAATTTATTTTCTCACGGTTCTGGAAACTGGGAAGTCGAAGACCGTGGTGCCAGCAGATTTGGTGTCTAGTGAGGGCCTGCATCCTCAGTGACAACCATCTTTTCACTGCTACCTCACTTGGCAGAAGGGGGCTGGGTCATAAAACTTTGTTCAGAAACTTTCAATGGCACATCTTGCCTGGGGTCTTTAAAAGCCCCAGCGTTACCCTCCTTGTGGCCTCTGCACACCCTGCCCAGCTCTCCTGATCTTTCTGTAGCTAATTCATCCTTTGTTCCAACCAGAATCCCACCTCCTCCAGGAAGCCTTCCCAGCCTTTTCTTCTCATAAGCATTTAGCATTTGTACCACCCACTCTTGGGGCACTTATACCTCCTCCTGGGACTGTGACCCTTTTCCTGCCTTGCTCCCAGCTTCCAAAGGCGGGCCAGCCTCGACACTCTCCAGGCATACAGCTGATCTTCACCCACTGATGGGCTTTGGGGTTCTTCCACAGGGCAGCCACAACACTCCCCCACCTGAGGTCACCACATGGCTCCCCTTCGCTCCTACAACCAAATCAAGGCCATTTCCTTTTCAGCTTTCACTCCCTGCTTATTCCTCCACAGAAAGAAGCCCCTTCCTTTCCTGGGCTGACTCCGCCTCGCGTCCCCCAGGCCCACACAGAAACGTTTCTGGCTCAGGGAGGCCTTTCCCCACTGGCCTAGGTGAGCCTTCCCTGTGAGCCACCTCACTGTCCTCTGCCGTCCCTGCTGAGCGGCAGGGTGGTCAAGGTCAGGCAGGGGCCACAGTGGGAGCCTGCTGGTGAATGTCCGCACAAGCAATGGCTGGTTAGGAGAGCTCTCGGGAGACAAGGAAGCGAGCTGTTTTTGTTCCGCCGCACTGTCCTTTACAATCAGTGCCCCCAAACACCTAGAGGTCCTGGAACCCGCTCTGACACTCTCAGAGTTAGAGCCAGGCCCTCGTGAAAGGGACGGTGACATCTCTGTGCCCAGTGACAGCACCGTCACCCTGGAGCTCGAGAACCACTATCCTCCCCTGCTCCTGGAGCGTTCATAGGATTAAGAGATTCGGCACCAACTTCACCCTGAAGTTCAAGTAAGCCTGTGTGTCCTTTCAAAAGTAAAAACAGAAGCGATTCTGGAGAGCTCAATATATATTTTTTATAAATTAGGTCACGTTCTCCCCAGAGGGAATCCAAAGTCCAAGGAAAAGGAAGCACTCCAGTGGCCCTGAGGGCTTAGCCAGGCACCCTGGGGCACAGTGTCACAGGTAAGGCTGATCCCTGGACAGCTCCCACCTCTTTATGGGAGGAGCTGGCGTCACAGCCTTCTTCTCAGTGGCTGCTACAGCCGAGCTGGAAGATGAAAACAGACTTGAGTTAGGCCCAGGTTTCAGAGAACAGTGTGGAGGAAGCTGCGGGAGACCCCCCTGCCCCAGCAGGAACACATCTGCTGACACCATGGATCTGGAGGCCAGGGTGCAGGGTGTTTCAGAATGCCCAGAGCCCTCCAATGGGGTCCCCCAAAGGGTGAGCTGACAAGCCCCGAGCCCTGCATGAACCCCTGGTCGGCGTGCCTTGGCTCCTGGTCCCAGAACCAGCATGAATAGCTGGGCTCCTCCTCCAGCACCCCTTCCCACTCGCACCCCACTCCCGCTGCCCCAGAACAGGACACTGGCAGAAGGGCCAAGGACCAGCACTGGGGGTCTGGGCAAACTGCTTTGAAATCATGCGTCTACTACCTGCCAGCTGTGTGACCCAGGCAGGGCACTTGGTCTCTCTGTGACTCAATTTCTTCTTCTGCGGCAGGGGCCATCGCTGCCTAACTCATGGAGTTATCAGGAGGCAGATATGGCACTGACTCCATTCTTGAGCTTACAGATTTTAATTATGAGGATTAATCCTCAGAACGACTCTGCTATCGACAGAATGGGTCCCCACAAAATCCATATGTTGAAATCCTACGCCCCAATGTGATGATGTTACGGGGTGGAGCCTTTGGGAGGTGACTAGATCATGAAGGTGAAGCCCTTATGAATGGGGTTAGTGCCCTTATAAGAGACCCTAGAGATCCCTTACCCCTTCCAACATGTGAGGACATGGCAAAAAGATACCATCTGTGGGGACTTCCCTGGTGGTCCAGTATTAGGACTCAGCACTTCCACTGCAAGGGGCATGGGTTCGATCCCTGGTTGGGGAACTAAGACCCCACATACTGCATGGTGTTGCAAAAAAAACGATACCATCTATAAACAAAGAAAGTGCCAGACACCGAATCTGCAGGAACCTTGAACTTGGACTCCCAGCTTCCAGAACCAAGAGAAACAATTTTCTATTGTTTATAAGCCACCCAGTCTTGGGATTCTGTCCCAGCAGAACTCTCTAAAGTAAATAACATTATTGTTCCTGGTTAATTAAGAGACAGTGCCTGATGCCAGGGACCAAAGTGGGTTTTGAGGGGCCTGAGGTTTATACAATTCTCTCTTTAAGAAGAATATAAAATTACAAAAACAACAATCCCTGGGCTTCTTCCAAGGCCCTTGAAGGGCCCTTGGAGCTTCCTCTGCTTTTTGCAGGAAACCCACCCAGGGTGGGTGGGGATTCATGAGCTCTCAGATGAAAAGCCCCCGGCAGTACATTTCCTGCCACAGTTGATGCTCAACAGACTTGGGACCTTGAAAAGCACAAGCAGGAGAGAGGGCTGGTCGCAGGAGGGGTGTTGAGGCATCCTCACCTCTCTGCTGGCTTCCCTGACGCCAGCACCTTCTGTGAGGACATGACGATCGAGGGCGGCGTGGCTTCCCGGCGGCCATCACGTGTACAGTAGTAATTGTTGGAAAGTTTGTGGCTGGGGCCCACGGGGAGCTTGGGAGGAGGCTGAGTTCTGAGGAGAAAGAACATGGGCACTGAAACAAAAATGACAAGTCGTTCTCACTGCGTGGCTGTGCTAGAACATGGGCCCATCACCTCAGTCACGAGGCTTGGGGTTGGCAGCCCCTTGGATGTGCTGCAGGCCAGGGGTATCCCTTGATACACTGCCATGACCATATGCCTGGGGAGGGTCCAATGCCTGCATTGGATGTGAAGGTGCTGGAAGGCCAGGCCTGGGTCTGCCCCACCACAGGTCCCCGACCTGCCCCAAACGTGGCAGGTATGGAGGACCCTTTCATGAGGGAGACCTGTTCCCACCTCTCCATGGCCCAGAGCTTGGCAGCTGGCCTCATTTCCACCACAGGTCCTCGGGAAATGAAGAGGCTGGGGCCTGGGGCTCTGCCCATCACCTACCAAGTAATCGTGGTCAGCAAACGCTTGGGAAACAACCCCAGACTTGGCTCATTCTGAGGGGTTTTGTCCCCAAAGGCCAGGCTGCAGAACCTCTGGGTTTCCAGTTCTCTCAGGAACTCTCTGAAGAACTCTTACTGGGATCAAGCCTTATTACTCAAAGAGCATTTTGTCCTCTGAGGTCTCTGCTGCCACCTCGTGGTCACTGCCACCAGAGGGGGAGTGAACAGAGCTCTGTCCTCGCTTGACTAAACCCTGGGGTCAATATACAAAGTTTGAGGCCTGAAAACTAATCGCTAACCTCGCTAACAAAAGACACTAACAAAAAACAAAATCACTAACAAAACATGTGCTTCCCTGGAAACCATTGCAGAGACGGAGGGCAGAAAAGATAGAAAAATCATAAACAGATCGGGTTCTCATTCATCTTTTTTGTTTGTTTATTTATTTGCCTGCATTGGGTCTTCTTTGCTGTGTACAGGCTTTCTCTAGTTGTGGTGAGCAGGGGCTACTCTTCATTGCAGGGCGCGGACTTCTCAACGCGGTGACTTCTCTTGTTGCGGAGCACGGGCTCTAGGTGCGCAGGCTTCAGTAGTTGTGGTACACGGGCTTAGTTGCTCCGCGGCATGTGGGATCTTCCCGGAGCAGGGCTTGAACCCGTGTCCCCTGCATTGGCAGGAGGATTCTTAACTACTGCGCCACCAGGGAAGTCCCTCATCTGGGTTTTTAACCAACTTTTTTCTGATAATCATTTTGCCAGGACTTAAGTTTTTCTTAAAACAAGTGATAGTCATTGTACCAAGGAGAAAAAAAGAAATACAGATAAAAACAAAGTTTAAAAGCTTAATATTAAAAACAGTATCCTAATTCCCTGGCAGTCCAGGGGTTAGGACTCAGTGCTTTCACTGCTATGGCCTGGGTTCGATCCTGGTCAGGGAACTAAGATCCCACAAGCTGTGCGGCATGGCCAAAAAAAATTTTTTTAATAAATAAAAAATAAATTAGGGACTTCCCTGGTAGCGCAATGGTTAAGAATCCACCTGCCCATGCAGGGGACACGGGTTCGAGCCCTGATGTGGGAGGATCCCACATGCTGTGGAGCAACTAAGCCCGTGTGCCATAACCACTGAGCCTGAGTGCCACAACTACTGAAGCCCGAGCGCCTAGAGCCCGTGCTCTGCAACAAGAGAAGCCATCACAATGAGAAGCCTGCACACCGCAACGAAGAGTGGCCCCTGCTCGCCGCAACTAGAGAAAGCCCGCGCACAGCAACGAACACCCAATGCAGCCAAAAATAAATAAATATATTTTTTAAAAATTAAAAAAAAATAAAATAGGACTTCCCGGTGCCGCAGTGGTTAAGAATCTGCCTGCCAATGCAGGGGACACGGGTTCGAGCCCTGGTCCAGGAAGATCCCAACATGCTACAGAGCAACGAAGCCCATGCGCTGCAACTACGGAGCCTGAGCTCTAGAGCCCGTGAGCCACAGCTACTGAAGCCCGCGTGCCTAGAGCCCATGCTCCGCAACAAGAGAAGCCACCGCAATGAGAAGCCCACGCACTGCAAAGAAGAGTAGCCCCCGCTCGCCGCAACTAGAGAAAGCCCGCGCACAGCAATGAAGACCCAACGCAGCCAAAAATAAATAAATAAATTTTTAAAAATAATTAAAATAAAATAAATAAAGGCAATATCCTGTGTTGAAGTTAGAATCTGCTTAACCCCTGGAGTGCAGAGATGACCCTCTGTTGGCCAGGGACCAACAGAAAACGAGCACACAAAGGATAAAAAGAACCAGCGCCCAACGGAAAGGCCTAAATGAATCACTAGGGGGCGCCATTACCCTTTAAAAAAAAGTTGAAAATTTTACAAAACTGTTTCCTCAACTGTATCAACTACCCTGGATGGAAAAGCAATTTAAAACTTTTGATATTTGGAATCAGTCACAACATGCAGGCATTCACACAGACTTGGTTATTTTAATGTTATTGTTCTTCTTTTCATGCTAACCCTCCATGGCTGCCTTACCTTTGCCTGCCACTCATATATATATCGCTATTCCCCATTCCTCAGAGTGTTTCAGCCACACTAGCCTCCTTCCTACTTCTGGCTCTGTCGGGCTGCACAGCCTTGGCACTTACTGCTGCCTCTGCCCGGAATGTTTTAATAACTATCCTTTGGCATTTCAGGTGACTCAAATGTCAATCCCTGAGGCCTTTCCTGATTACCTGATCTGAGGTAGGCACCCTCCAGCTTATTCACTTTGTTTTGTCTTCAGAGCATTCTAGAACAATGTTTTTTACTTGCTGTGTTTATTTCCCTACTATGCTATGTTTCTCCCTCCTCCCCAGGATATGAGCTCCATGAAAGGAATGAGAATTTTTTTTGTTAGCACTGGTATCCCAGAGGGCTGAGGACACAGCAGGGGTTTGTAAATGTCAAGTAATTTTTTGACTCAAATGAGTTTGAAATCAAGACACTTCTGGGTTCAAATCCCAGCTGTTACTTGCTGGCTTCTGAGTGATTTTAAGCAAATGATTTAGTCTCTCCGAGCTTCAAATATTTTCATGTGTAGCTTGGGGATGATAACACTAACAGGGCCACACTTCGGACTGCAAATCACACTGATTCCCACTCATAATTCAAGCCCCATCTGGTTGTTCCACGAGCACCACTCTCAGACATAGTCCAGCAAGATTAAAGGCAAACCTCTGCCTCCACTAGAGGCGGCTAGAGGCAGGATTTCGGCCCAGTGTTTCAGGGGTCTAAAAGAACAGGAGTTTTGTTTTTGATGGAAGGACAGGATTGCAGTCCGGGCAGCGAGCGGGGCTTGCTCACCGCTTGGAGATCTCCTGGTAACGCAGCTGCAGCTTCGCCTGCAAGTCTTGCTGTGGGAGAAAGAGAGGAAGGAGGTCAGCCCGCAGGGCACCCCAGAAGAGAAGGCCAGCGAACGTGGGGCAGTCCAGGGCTGGACAAATGAAGGGAAGGCGGGAGATGGGCATTTGGCGACAAGGATATGGGCCCTGGAAGTGAACAGGAAAGCTGGAGGCCGGGGCCACAAGATCCAAAGTTAAGAAGGACTAGGTAAATCCCAGGCCTGAGTGGGACCCCAGCCAAGAGAGGGCCAAGGGCTGGAGGTGGAGGTGGGCGTGCCCTGGGCTGGAAAGGTCAAGAGCTGGAGGCTCCGGGCTGAGAGCGGGGTCCCGGCTTATAAGGGGAATCTCGGCACCACTGGCCTCGGCCCCAAAGGTGCAGGAGGGGGGTGAGTAACGGGAGCGTGTCCGGGGCGCACGGAGCCCACAGCCCCACCCTCCCCAGTGCAGCCCTTCCCGCCCCGCGCACCCCGGATGCCCAGTTCCGCAGCCGCTGGATGAAACGAGTAGCAGACGCCATCTTTCCACCCTGCGCTGAAGGGCGCCGGTGACGTCTCTACCGCGAGGGCTGCTGGGAACATGGAGTATGTTCTCGCGAGAACGGGAGTGGGCGGGGCTAGGACGCCTTATAAACGTTGTCTCTGAAGCACGTGACTCCTCTCCGCCCGATCAGTCGCTGTGCCGCCGTTATGGATACGAGTCGTGTGCAGCCCATCAAGCTTGCCAGGGTGAGGCGGAAGCCCGGGTTTGAGGGCCCGGATGAGGGAGGAAGGAGTAGGGGAACCGGGTGGTCCAGATCTGATCCCAGCTTCTTTATCCCAGGTCACCAAGGTGCTGGGCAGGACCGGTTCGCAGGGACAGTGCACGCAGGTGAGCTGGAGAGACGAGGAGGCGGGGTCTGGGGTCTTGAGTCTCCGATGATGACTTCTGTGCCCTGGTATCTTGAGAACCGATACGTACCCTTTTTCGGAAAGCTCGCGGACGGTCCGAGCCTTTGCCGAGGCCTTGTCCCTCATTCCTTGGGCTCTGACATACCTCGTTCTCCTGGCTCAGCCAATCCCAACGACCACTGTGTAGCTCCACGCCCTCACGATTGTGCTCCCGTCCCCGACGGGCCCAGAGCGGCAGTTGTCCCCCACCAGTGGCTTTTTCTGGCGCTCGAGAGCTTTGTTCTCCACGCTTCGGCCCCTCTCTGGCTTCTCTCCCGGCCCAGACCTACTTCCCAGGCTCAGCCCCCTTTTTAAGTGTGTCTACGCAGGCACGTTCTCTGAATCCAAGTCAGCTGGCTATCCCACGGTGCCAGTTTGTGGCAGACACTGACTTCTTCCCGGTCCCCCACCCCCCGTCAACCCCATAGGTGCGCGTAGAATTCATGGACGACACGAGCCGTTCCATCATCCGAAACGTGAAAGGCCCCGTGCGCGAGGGCGACGTGCTCACCCTATTGGAGTCAGAGCGAGAGGCTCGGAGGCTGCGCTGAACTTGGGACTGGTGAGTGCACAACTGGAGTGGGAAACAGTAGACCTTTGGCTGGTGGTAGGGAGGTTTCGCCAAGCATACGGATGAGGGGCTCTTGCAGGGGCTCTTGGTGGCGGGGTGTGAAGAAAGGGTTTGCTGAGATTGGCAAGACGGGGGAGGGAGTTTGCCACTTGCTGAGAGCGACCTGTCAGCATCTCATACTTGGGTTTGTTTACAGGGTCCTGGATGTCTGGGTCGACTACCTGGCCCACGAGGATGATCTGCTTTTAATAAATCGTTTATATTCTGTGTAAACTTGGGGTTTTGTCTCAGTTGCCACTAAGCTTATAAAACTCTCCCATGGGACCCCCCAGGTGGTCTGCACTGACCCACTGCACTCTGGAAGGGGGGTGGAGGAGTTGTCTTCCCCAACAACGCGTTTTCTTTTTGAGGAGGGAGAAGCACGTGTCTGTGTGTATCTCCAAAACAAGACAAGCTGAGTTAGGAATGTTTTATTAAGGAAAAAGTTTGGAGAAGTGAGTGGACCAGAGTGCCTCAAGTCCCACCTCACCCTGCAGAGTTCAAGCTGAGCCCCTCCCTGTGGACCCTGACCCTTGCTGTGCCCCGAGGTTGAGGTGGGCGAGGGAAAGCTCTCCCCCAATCCAGGTCCAGTGTGTCAGGCCAGTCACTGAGGTAGGGGGTCCTCTCCACCGTCACTGCAGCCTCCTTCACTAGGCTTGGCCGTGGGGCGGTCAGAGGGCAGCTGGTGAGAGAGGTTGAGGGGGGCTGTCAGTCTCCTGTAGGCAGGACACTGGCTTTCAGCCCCCTTAGACTCAGGGCTGCTTAGCCTAGTGGAGATCTTGCCTCTGTCCACTGAGCTTGCCTAAGCAGGAACCCCCACCTTTTACAGCAGAGCCAGAGCACCTGGCTTTGAATCCTGCCTCTGTCCCATGTGACCTGGAAGAGGCACTTGGCCTCCCTGGCTCCTTTCCCCCATCTCTACAGGGGAGTGCGGGATGGCTAGGCTTACAGCATGAGTTGATGTTTTGCTTCGTTTTGTGTTATTTGGCCACGCCTTGAGGCATGCGGGATCTTAGTTCCCTGACCAGGGATTGAACCCGTGCCCCCTGCAATGGAAGTGTGGAGTCCTAGCCCCTGGTTCGCCAGGGAGTTCCCAGGATGATGTTTAATTATGAAAGTGCTGAGAACAGCCTGGCACTTGCCTTTTGAACATAAGCCTCTGCCCCCAAACCAGCCCTTCCTGCCTGCTGCTGGCAAACTCATTGTCTCCAACCCTGAAGCTCTGACTTGTGGGGAGCTTGCACCCCCCTCCCCTGCCCCCTCGACCTAAAGGGCCCCTTATTCCTTTGCTGTGAGCCTGGGGGCAGTAACAGGAGTCCCCTGACACGACATGGTCTGACTTAGGTCTGACAGCTCTACTCTGATCTTAATGGCATGTCCCCTCTGGAGGCCTCAGGTTCATGACCTGTAAAGTGAAGGTGTGTCTAGCCCTTGGGTGTTCTGCAGGTTGAACATCAAATCCCAGCCACAGAGAATTCAAACGCAGGTTCCCCACCCCTGGTACTACCCTGGGGTGCATGAAGAGAAGCCACCTTTCTGGGGATCCTTGAGCTGTGCAGCTGGAAAACTGTCTCTTGGGGCTGGGGCTGGGGCTGCACTCACCAGGGGACCGGGCTGGCCTGAGCTCAGGTGGGCGTGCAGCAGGGCGGCCACCTCATCCTGCTCAGCCTCCAGGGCAATGGCCAGGGCACTGGTGCCCTCCTGAGGGATGATAGGGACAGTCAGGTCCCTGAACCAAGGTGTGACTACCCCACCAGCCCCATGGTGGCTCACGTTGTCCAGGAGGGCGGGGTCACAGCCTGGCTGGGCCAGGAGCAACCGGACAGTGTCCAGGCGCCCATACTCGCTGGCGCACATCAGCGCTGTGGCCCCATCTGCATCCTGCACGTTCACATCTGCCCCACACGCCAGCAGGGCTGCTACCGTGTCCTGGCGGCCGTGGCTGATGGCCAGCATGAGGGCTGTCTGTCCCGTCTGGGGAATGGGAAAGAAGGGGACAGGGCTGGTGTGGGCTCCGGGGGAAAGAGAGGGGTCACAGACATTGGGCTCCAAAAGTGGAAAAGACCCCTGGACTCCGAGCCAGGGAGGAGATATCTACACACCTGGCTGGCCTTGGCATTAACACTGCCCATGCGGAAGAGTCTCTGGACCACGGCCATGTCCTCCTCTCGCCCCACAGAGGTGAGTGCAGCCAGCATGAGGGCGGAGTAGCCAGCTCGATTCTGGTGGTCAATCTTGCAGACCCCTGGGAGAGAGAAGAGGGGTCAGTCCACCAAGAAGCCGACACCCGCTAGTCCACTCGCCTCCCTCCAAGCCTCAGGTTCATTTGTTCAGTCAGGTTGGTCACTGAGGGTCATGCGTGACTTTACTGTTCCCTCTGCCTACAAGGCTCTCCCCACAAGATCCACATGGCTCCTCCCTTACCTTCAGGGTTCTGCTCGCATCTCATCTCAGTGAAGAGTTTCCTCACCTTCCTATTTCAAACTGTGTTGGGGGCTTCGTTCTGTCTGCTGCTGTATCCCCCAGTACCTAGAGTAATACCTGCCACCTAGTAGCTGCTCAATGAAAGATAAATGGACGTTTCTATTTTCACAGCTACTACCCACCAAGCCACCACTGTTGCTCCCCCAGAGAAATGCCAGCTGGGCCCCCCTGGTGTCCAAGTCCACTCCAGTTTCCATGCAGCAGCCAGAAAGAGATCAAAAGAAATTTGGCCCCATCACCTATTTAGAGCCCTCCTGTGTCTCCCCACTGCACCTGGAATACAGGCCGTTGTTCACCACCGCCTCCGAGGCTCTGTTATCAACTTCTGTCCCTTCCTCTGGAGTTGGCCTTTCTCCCACAAGCCTATGTTACAGATTGAATTGTGTCCCCTCCGCCATTGCCCCACCAAAAGATATGTTGAACTCCTAACACCCAGTACCTGTGAATGTGGCCTTAATTGGAAATAGGATCTTTGCAAACCATAATCAAGTTAAGATGAGGTCATTATGGTAGGCCCTAATTCCATATGACTGGTATCCTCGGAAGAAGCAAAGACAAAGAGCTATGTGATGCAGAAGGCCGAGAAGACAAGCTGCCGTAAGCCGCGGAACGCTGCGGGTTGCTGGCAGCCACCAGAAGCTTGGAGAAAGGCACAGAACAGATTCTCCCTCTGAGCCCTTAAGAAGGAAACAGCCCTGCCAACACCTTGATTTTGGATTTCTGGACTCCTGAACTGCAAGAAAATGAATTTCTCTTTTCAACCACCCACGTTGTGGCACTTTTTTACAGCAGCCCTAGGAAACTAACAGCCTGGTTACTGCTGCCCATCCTTCCGAACTGAACACAGACATCAGCTCCATTTCCTCTGGGGTCAGTTCTGTTACCATCCTGGCCCTCTTCCTCACAGCACAGCACCTACTTCTGGACCTCATTCCCCAGAATGTTTACCGCTCGTGTACCCCACCATTCTGAAAGCTCCACAACTCCAGGGACAGTCTGCAGAGATGAATGGGTGGGAGAGGTTTGGGGAAAGGAGTGGATCAGGGTCATGGAGAGGGTGCCCTAGTAAGAGGGGATCTGAGACAACCGGCTGGGGAGTAAAAGGGTTAAGTCAGGATTAAGGGCATTCCCTAGTTGTGTGGCATACTCTCTAGGTGTCCATTCCATCCACAAGCTTCTGTGACCCTGGTGGAGGGTGTTGGGCGCAGAAGGGGGCTCAGAGAAATAACCGAAGTGGGGTCTCTGCAGTTAGCCAGGGGACCCACCTATTTTCCCTCTCCCTTTCCCTTCCCTGAGGCCTTGCTAAGCTAAAGGATCACACTGTTTCTTGATTCCCTCCCCTGGTTTTATTTTGTCATGGCCCTTACCCCTATTGGAAATTATGTTTACTTGATAATTATCGAGTAAAATTGATAATTATCTCCGCTCCCCACACACACACACCTAGAGCCCCTGCTCATGAAAGCTTATTCATTCATTCAACAAACACTTGAGGGTCTACTGTGTGCCCCACTGGGGTCTGCCAGGCAAGTAGGGTGAGGTGAGGGAGGGGTATGGGGATGGGTTTGAAAGGGTACATAAAGGAGTAGTTAATGGTAGGCCAGGAGGCAAGGAGACAGAACAGTGAAATGTGGTGGGAGCAATGGATACTGGTCCCACGAGGTTCAAGGACTGTGGGAGTTGGGCAACAGGAGACAGTGAGCTGAGATGTTGGATGGTGAGAGTTCAGGAGAGAATGCTAGGAAGTGAGATTATGGAGGGGGCATAGTTACTGATGACATCAAGGTGTTGTGGTGACCTTACAAGTGTAAGGCTGATGTCAGGGTGAAGGGAGAGGAGTAGGTCAAGGAACTGAGAAGGGACTTCCCTGGCGGTCCAGGGGTTAAAACTCCACGCTTCCACTGCAGGGGGTGCAGGTTCGATCCCTGGTCGGGGAACTAAGATCCCACATGCCTTGTGGCATAGCCAGGAAAAAAAAAAAAAAAAAAGGAACTGAGAAGCCAGGAAGTGGGAGGGATCATCCATCAGGAAACTGATATTGGTGAGGATTAGGCTGGAGAGGAGGAGAACCAGCCAGGAGCTAAGATTCAAGAAATGAAGAGTGACGAGATGAGAGGGAGAAGTCAGAAGGGGCGGAGGGAGTAGTGGTCTGATCAATTAGAGGCTCCAAGATGGGACTAAAGGAGGAAGGGGAAACGGTCTGGAAGTGGAGATAAAGAACAAGGAGGACACAGCCATGTCCAGGCCCTTCATTCCAGGGAGATGAGAGGAAACAGCCCCCGCGTGAAGGGTGCACTGTGGGCTCTGGGTCCTGGGGGAGGGGAGGGCCAGAGGGGCTGACTCATGTGAGAACCAGAAGGCCCACGGCAAGGTCTGGAAAGTTGGAGCTGAAGGGGGGGGGGGGTTCAAATGCAGGAAATAAGAGGATCCAAGGAGCCTCGGGCCTTGCAACCAAGATGACTGCCTTGCCACCCTCCATAACCCCAGTCCTCAGCCCCCTTTAAGAAAGGAGCTGCCCAGGAAATACCTTTTTTTTTTTTTTTTTTTGGCCGCGACGCGCAGCATGTGGGATCTTAGTTCCCTGACCAGGGATCGAACCCGCACCCCTGCATTGGAAGTGTGGAGTCTTAACCACTGGACCGCTGGGGAAGTCCCAGGAAATACCTTTTGAATTCATGCATTGTCCCTTCCTCCCAAGCCCCATCTCCTTGTCCAGCCCAGAGTAGCTGTGCCCTTCCCCCCGGTCACCAAGACCTGCAGAAATGGGATGGATCTGTGTATTTAGGGGGTGGCATGCAGGATGGGACAGCAGGACCTGCCTCAGCCTGCAGTGAGAAGGAGAGGCAGGGCAGGCCCCAGAGGATACTGGACCTGAAGGAGGACACCCAGGAGAGCTCTTGGTGGGCAATCAGTTTGTCTACTGTCCACTGTCCCCTCTGCTGTGAGTCCCATGGGGGTGGCCCACCCCCATCCTGGCACTGCACTGGTGCCTGGAAGGCTCTCAATATATGTCTGTGGACTCAGCAACACCTGGATGTGTGTATCTCTGCTCCAGAGGGGGAAACGTTGAGACAGATGATAGAAATGTGTGTGAGATGGGGCCAACGCAGGACCTGGTGGTGGAGGACTGCAGGCCCAGTGTCCCAGCCCGGGAGGCAGTCACAGCCCTGACCAGTCAGTACCTCCCCTGGAGGCTGAAGAGGCAGTGGATGGATACTGGGGCTCAGGAACAAGGTGAACGCCAAGGCTGGAGATTCAGGGACAGAAGGCATGGGGACCATTGACTGACCTGCGTGCCTGGTGCTGTTCTACGTGTGTTATCACAATTGCCCAGGGAGGGAGGCGCTGCATCCCCCGTTTCACAAAGGAGGAAGCTAAAGCTGGTGAAATGAAGTAATTTCTCTACATTTAGGTCTACCCAATCCCAAAGCCCAGAATACCCTCCTCCTGCAAAGTGAGAGGCAGGTCAGGGCAGAGCTCACAGCTCAGAGAGGTCAATCTATCCACGGGTCATGTAACCGCCAGAGAAGGGCCAGTGGTGCCCTCTGCCTGGCCAGCCCTTCTCTGCATCCTTCTCCAGGTCCTCCCAGCCAGGACCTGCCCAGATTCTCCCTTCCCTGGCTCCCTATTCCCTGGTGCCCTCCCCACCCCTCCTCAATGCTAACCTGTATCCAGCAGCAAGCTCGCGATGGCCAGGTTCCCATGGGACACGCTGTAGTGCAGGGCTGTGTTCCCGTTGCCATCCGTCAGGTTCACCACGTGTTCCAGCAGCTCACGTCCCAGGCGCACCACCGCGCCCAGCACCCCGGCCACGGGCTCCGCTTGAGAGCGCCGCTGGCTCGACACTCGAAACCACTCCTGGGCCACCAGGCGCGCCGCGCCCTGCCAGGACGGGGGAAAGACTTCGGCAAGGGTCCAGGAAGGGGTGGCAGGGAGGGTGTGGGGGCGGGACTGGGAACCCAGGCAGGGGAGGATGGTCACTCCTAGGGCCACACCCCTTTCGAGGAGGGAGTGCAGTTAGTGTGGGTATCCGGCTCGAGGGGGCAGGGATGCTCCCCTTCTGAGGAAGAGCCTGGGGAAGAAGCTGAAGTGGCGGAAGGCGGTGAGCGCTTGTCTTTGGGGAGTCCGGGAGTGGGGCTGGGGCTTGGGGCGGACCCCTTTTGGGAAATCAGGGAAAGATCAGCCCTGTCCTGGGGCGAAGAGCCCTTTGGAGAGCTTGGGATCCGTGCAGGGCCCTGGCGCGAGGTGACGGAACTTGGGACCCTCCTAACTCTAAAGACCCCGATGCTCTTCCCTAGGTAGGCGTCAGAGGAGGTCCCTGGCGGGCCTATGACTCCTGCGAAGGCCTCTCCCCGCACTCACACTGTCGCGGGCGACTCCGCGGGGCCGGTTCAGCTGCCGTTGCAGCGCTGCGCACGCCTCCCTCAAACGCGGGCTCAGCTCGCACCTACTGCCGAGGAAACGCAGACAGGGAGAGGCTAAGGAGGGGTTGGGATGGGGAGTGGGGAGACGGGAAAGAGAGCAGCCGTTCCTATTACGTGTCCGCGGCGCTGCTCACCTCCCCTGCGCGCCCGGCTGAGGCTCTGGCTCTGCCTCCGGCTCGGGGTCCCGGGCCTCCCCGCCGCTGGGAGGGCCATGGGTCCCGGAGTCGGATCCCCCGCCGCTGTCGTCTCCTGAGCCCGACGAACTGCTCCTCGGGAGCTCGGCAGCGCCGTCCTCGCTGTCGCTGTCGTTCTCGCTGGATGAGCTCTCGTACCTGGGGGCAGGGTGAGAGGCATCTGCTGAGCCTCCCCTGGGGGCTCATTCTGGAGTCCTGCGAGGTGGGAGTGGCTGTTCCCATCTTACAGATGAGGACACTGAGGCTTGCCAAGACCACGCCGCGAGCGAGGGGCAGAGCTGGGATTCAAACCCCATTCCAGTCCCAGAAGATGCTGCCATGGGGAGGGGGAATGTGCTCACTCTCCGTTGAGGACCCCAACAAACTGCAGGCTCTTGGGTCCGGGGCTGGGTTGGGCGCCAGGTGTACCGTCTCTCCTCTTCATAATGGATTTGAGAGTGCCTGGCGGAGATCAGATGAAGACAGTGAGTTAGAATTCGGTGGCCAGCAAACCAGGGCTCAGCGAGGGACGGGGACGGGACTCACCCGCGGGTGCCACTGCCCTGTCCCCATCCGTGGGTCCGGGCAGGTTCTCCTGCGTCGGGGCAGGGGCCTCCACAGCGGGCTCGGTCTGCGTGGCCCTCTCGGCACAACCCCACGGGGTCTGGGTGGCAACCTCGCACGGCTGGGGCTGGGCCGCCACCGCTGCCTGTGCCTCCTCGGCTGCCTGTGCCTCCTCGGCAGCCTCGCGGGCCTCCTCCAGCTCGCACAGGCGACCCCGCAGGAGCTCGCTCACCCCGCGCTGATGCTCCAGGCTGGCGCGAAGCAGCTCCAGCTCGCGCTCGGCGGCCGCGGGCAGCCCCAGCAGAGCCTCCGTCACCCACACTTCCGCCTCGAGGGTCTCGGGAGCTGCCCCCACGCCGGCCTCCTGGGTCTCCGGCAACGCCTGGGCTCCCGTCTCTTGAGTCTCCGGCACGGTCTGGGTGCCTGTATCCCGTGTCTGGGGCGCCCCATCGAGGACCTGCAGCGCACCCTCACTGAGGCTAGAAGCCGACCCGTCGGGGCCATCAGCCTCGGGGCTGGCCCTGGCGCGAACGCCGCGCTCAGAGGTGGCCAGGCGCTCGGTGAGCCGCCGCAGCTGGGCAAGCTTGTCCGGGCGCGCCTCGGCCTCCCCGTCGGGCTCGGGCTGCCGGCGCCCGGCAAGCAACCGCGCCTTCTCGGCGCGCAGCGCGCGCACCTGCTCCTGCAGCTCGGGCAGCGCGCGCGCCTGCTCCTCGAGCTCGCGCAGGCGCCTCAGCGCCACTGCCATCTGCTCGCGCACCAGCTGCAGTTGCGCGGGGCCGGGCGAGGCCAGGGCCGGGTTGGGGGCGGGACTGCTGTGGCCGGACCCGCGCGGGCTGCGCGGGATCGTGCGGCCGGGGCTGGGCACGCACTCGTGCGCCTGCGCTAGCTCCAACCGCCGGCTGGTCTCCAGGAGCGTGTGCTCGACGCGCGGATTGCGCACGGGTGCGCGCGGCGATAGCGGCAGCAGCATGAGCCCCGACGGCGCGCCCGGGGAGAGAGCGCCCGGTGCTCCGCCATCGTCACTGGCCAGGGACTCGCAGGATGTCCAGGCGCCTGGGCTGCGCGCGCCTGCGAGGCCGGCCCGTGGCGCGCGGGGGCGGCGCGCGGGCTGGGGGCCCGGGGCGCGGCGGGCGGCGGGGCCGCGCTCCAGCTCCTCCACGTACTTGAGGAAGTCCAGGTCCAGGTGGAAGCCATAGGGCGTCTCCACCGAGTAGGGCGAACTCGGGCTGCGAGCTCCCCCAGTCACGCTGGGGCACAGGCGAGGGCCGCCCAGGTCTGTGGGCATGACAGGGGCGTGGAGGGGCGTTAAGCCGGAGAGACCCGGAGAACGCGTCCCCACTGCCCCACGACACGCCTGCACGACTCCACCTGCACCAAACCCTGCACACCTGGATTGCACACCCAAGGCTTAAACGCCTCTCTGCTCCCAAAAAGTCGAGGGTTCACGCGTTAATTGAGCACCTACTATGTACCAAGCACTTTTCTAGATGCTGCGGACATAGCAGTGAACAAGACAGGCATCCCTGCCCTCTTATAGGAGACAGATAAACACAATCGTTCCAAATGGTGCTTAGGGCAATAATAATAATTCCAAGATGAAATAGAGAATAACTGACAGACATGGGCTCTGGCTGTCAGGGCAGATTTCCTGAGGAGGAGACTTACAAGCTGAGCCCTGAATGAGGGGGAGGAAGCAGCTGAGACAGGAGGTTCCTAAAAGAAAACAGCCCATGCAGAGGCCCTGGGGTGGAATGACCAGGGTGGGCCTGAGTAAGAGCCGGTGGAGGTGAGGATGTGCAGAGCAGAGTGAAGGAAGGGAGGGGGTAGAGGAGTAGAAGAGGTGGGCTCGGACCAGATTGTGGGGAACATTCTGGGCCACCATGAGGAGATGGAGTTTTATTCCACCTGTGACAGGGCACCAGAGGCAGATTTTAAGCCATGATATTATCCACCTTTATAAAGGGCCCTCTGGCCACTCTGCAAAGGAGGGAGCTGCAGGGCTGTGTCTGCATCTGGGTGCCAAGTGTGGATCTGTACACATGCAAAGCCCATTTTGCACACTTACCAGGCAGGTTCTGATTCAGGGCAAACTTGGCCATGTTTCCTGGAGTAGCCCCCAGAGGGGGTGAGAGTGGGGCTGGGCCCTGTCCCTCTGGCTGTGCCTCTGGGGTCAGTCCGGACTCTGAGTGAGTAAACAGACCCAAGAGGTCCTCTCCACCACCACCCCAACACCCCCCCACACAGGCCCTCTCCTCCCTCCTCCCTCAAGTGGCCTTGAAAGTTTGGAATGGGGACTTCCCTGGTGACGCAGTGGTTAAGAATCCGCCTGCCAATGCAGGGGACACAGGTTCGAGCCCTGGTCCAGGAAGATCCCACATGCCGCGAAGCAATTAAGCCCGTGCACCACAGCTACTGAGCCTGTGCTCTAGACCCCATGAGCCACAACTACTGAGCCCTTGTGCCACAACTACTGAAGCCTGTGCGCCTAGAGCCTGTGCTCTGAAACAAGAGAAGCCGCCGCAATAAGAAGCCCGCACACCGCAATGAAGAGTAGCCCCCGCTCACCGCAACTAGAGAGAGCTCGCGTGCAGCAATGAAGACCCAACGCAGCCAAAGATAAATAAATTAAATAAATAAATTTATATATAAAAAAAAGAAAGTTTGGAATGAATGACTGTGGGGACCCTCACATGCCAGGCCTCAGCCTGCTGGGCAGGAGGAGGCAGGAAGGGCATCAAAAGGAGAAGAGAGGGGAACTCCCTGGTGGTCCAGTGGTTAGGAATCCGTGCTTCCACGGCAAGGGCGAGGGTTCGATCCCTGGTTGGGGAACTAGGATCCTGCATGCCACAAGGCGTGGCAAAAAAAAAAAAAAAAAGAAAAAGAGGATGATGATCAAGAGAACGAGAGCAGCCGGGGCGGGGGCAGGGTGAGGTGCATTCCAGACCTGCTGAGTTTTCTTCGGTCCGTGGGGAAAATTAGAAATTGAGGGCTTCCCTGGTGGCGCAGTGGTTGAGAGTCCACCTGCCGATGCAGGGGACGCGGGTTCGTGCCCCGGTCCGGGAAGATCCCACATGCCGTGTAACGGCTGGGCCCGTGAGCCATAGCCTCTGAGCCTGCACGTCTGGAGCCTGTGCTCCGCAGTGGGAGAGGCCACAACAGTGAGAGGCCCGTGTACCAAAAAAAAAACAGAAAGAAAGAAATTGATGCTCAAAGGGGTGGAGTGTGAACATTCAGAAGAGGAAGGCGAAGGTTGGAAGCCCTTCGAGGGCTCATGTACATCTGAATTTATACCAGGGTCACTTATGAGATCCTTTAGGAATGATGGAGAGCTGTGGGCCAGATGCACCAAGGATGCAAATCAATGGATACCAGTCTTCCTGGGATGTCTCTACTGGAGCGCCACAGGGCTCTGCCCTTGGCTTGTAAGAGATTGTAGTGGAACCACAAGCACCCAGGTTGTCAGCGCTGTGGCTAGGGAATTCCCTGGTCGTCCAGTGGTTGGGATTCGGTGCTTTCACCGCTGAGGGCCCGGGTACAATCCCTGGTCAGGGAACTAAGATCCCACAAGCCGTGCCATGTGTTGAGGCCAAAAACAAGAAAACAAAACAAAAACAAACAAACAAAAAACTCGGAGCTGTGGCTATGCTTAGGGCTAAAGGGATACAGACACTTCAGGTGATGTGATGGAGGCGCTAAGAAACTGGGGAGATTGGGCCACATCTAATAATGTGATATTTAACAAGGACAAATATTGAGTCCAGAAATTTGATTCAGAGAGTATAGGGCAGGAAAGATGGGGCTTTGAAGAGCTCACGTGAAAAACCCTGAGGGAAGGGAAAGCAGTTTCTATCGAGTGCCTACTCTATGCCTGGCCTGACTAAATGTAACCCCCCCCACAAGTATAATCCTGCAAGGTAGGATGTTTCCCCCTTTTCCAGATGGGGGAAATGAAGGCATAAAGCAGTTAAGTCAATTGCCTATGGGAAATGCCCTCAGGCTGGGCTTTCATCTTCTGGCAGGGACCTCTTGTCTGCCCAGCCCTCCACCAGCAGGTGCCTGCCAGACCCCATCTGTACTCTTCCTGACCTACTGCCCATCTGTGCTAACCACCTGGCAACCTTCCCAGTCACCCCTTCTGGTCTCTTGCACTCCGGATGACCACCTGCGTGCCTAATACCCACCAGCAACTGAGCACCCATTGGTCTACTGGACTCATTCTTCTCCACAGCTGGGGGAACCCTCCCACTCACCACTCTGTCCAGCCTGGGTCCCTGACACCTCCCCTAACCCACCCCAAGGAGGGAGAGTGACGGGGAACTTCCAGTCCTGAAGCAGCTGTTTCCCGTCCCCTCACACTGGCTGTAAGGGGCCGGCCAGCAGGGCAACACGGAGGACAGCCAGTGCCTCTCAGGACTTGTTTTCAGGAAACTGCCAGGGAAGAGCTGGGTCATGGAAAAAACCTGGGCTGGGGCTTAGGGGTCTGGGCTTGCCTCACACACAGCTGGCCGTGTGACTCCGTGGGGTCAGCCCCCCCCACTCCGGGGACCTGGTTACACCCAAATCTGAGACCCTGGGAATTCAAAAAAAAACAGCTGTGAGTCATTCCTAAGACCCAAACCAGCTGGAGCCGCCAGACCCAGAGACTGACCTGAAAAATGGGTGGATGCCCCAAGAATGGTAAATAAAAATATGCCAATGACTTTTGCCATTTACTATGGGCTAGCCTCTATTCTAAGCAATTTATGGGTAACTTAAAAAAAAATCCTAGGTAAACCCTTTGAGGTAGGTTATTCTTTCCCCCTATTGTGCAGATGGAGAAACTGAGACACAGGGATTAAGTGACCCAGCCAAAGTCGGACATGGGCAGAAGCAGGATTTGAACCCTGCAGCTTTGCCAGTGTTTCTGCATTGACCCCTCCACTTGACGGCTTTCTATAAACAGCCCTCCTGCCTGTCCCCTGCGTGTGTCCCCGATGGGAAGAGCAGGCCCAAACCGTGGCGGCTCCAGGGGCTGCAGCCTCACCGGAGTGGAGGCGTGCAACTGCCCTCCCCTCTCCTCCGCTCCCTGCCCGAGCTGGCAAGCTTAGATCCGGATCCTCTGCCTGAGACCCCCTTATTAGGCCGTCAGAGCCGACGCCACACGCCCCCACTCCCGCCCCAGGGACTATTTTGGGACTCAGAGCTGTGCTCACAAAACCTGAGGGGTGGGATACGAGGCGGGCAGTGCAGATCCCGGTCTTGGGGAGGGGGCGTCTTCCCGGACTGAGGCTCTGGGTGGTGGCACCCCGTAACTTTGGGACGGGACTCTCAGACCCCTGAAGTGGGAGTGGAGGCTGATGATGGGGGGAGGGGGAGGTCCTGAGGTCAGCACCCCCCACCTCCCTGTCCCCTCAGGACGGCCTCACGGAGACAGAGCAGTTTCCTACAGGAAACGCCGCCGGGCGGTTCCATCCGTTGTCCATTGTCTGCCCGCCCCGGGGGCCATCCGTCCCTCCCCCCAACACCGTTTCCGAATCACCCCCCATCACACACACACACACACACACACACACACACACACACACACTCAGGTCCAGCGCGAGGGAATGGACCCGGGTCCCCAAGCTGTCCAGGAGCGACTCTGTGAAAGCATCCCGAAGTCGGTTGCGGCGCCAGGGGGCGAACAAAGCCCCCCACTTCGCTCCTGAAGGGCGGGAAGTAGGAGACCGCAAGAATCCAGAGCCCCCCGACTCTGCTCGCCGCCCACCCGGGACTCCCAGTGTGGGAGGGGTCCCGGCCAGAGGACACAGCGCCCGCCCCGTCGCAGCGCGCTGAGCCCGCAAAGGGGCTAGAAGCGCAGCGCCCCGTCCCGCTGCGTACCCTGATCCCCCCAGGACCCCATCGGTGCCCCGAAAGCTGGCGCTTTACCTGAAGCCGCAGCCGCAGCCGCGCCCGCACCCGAGCCCGCCCCCTCGAAGCTCGGGGACCGGTTATCAAGGCCTTGACCCTAACTGACGGCCACGTCAGCCAACCAGCGTTCCATGCTCTCCGAAACTGTCCAATGGTGAGGCGAGATGGACCGCACTGTCCCGGCGCTGAGAGTGTGGGGAGTGGCTTGGGGTGGGGCCTGGAGTGACTGCCCTTGAGGGCGTTCGGGTCCGTAGTGGGGAGAGCAGAGGCCGAGTGGTGCCCAGCTCAGGGCTAAAGGGCTTCGATATGATCCACAGGGGACAGGGAGCCTCGGGAACACTCTAGGCATGACAGTTACCCGGTGGGATTTGTGTATTTGGAAGATACCTTGGGTGGAAGCTGACGCTCCTGTCCCAGTGTCTGGGTGAGGGACCTGGACCCTGGATCTTTCCCACCGCAGCGCCTTTGCGCATGCTGCTCAATCTTCCTGAACTGTTCTTCCCTGCACCTGTTCACTTGGCCACCTTCTCCTACCTTTGGGGGCTCAACCTGTGTGTTCCAGTCCCCTAAAGGCCTAACGTGGACCTTCTCCAGCCACTATCTTTCCAGTCACTCTGTTTTATGAATCTAATAGCTATATACTTTCAATATCTGAAAACAATCTATTATTTATTTGTTTCTTTGTTTGCCATCTGTCTCCCCATAAGGACAGGGAACTGATTGATTTTGGACACTGTTTCATCCAGTGCCCCAAGCACACAGTAGGTACTTAATAAATGTTTGTTGAAGAAACAGACTCACAGACATAGAGAGCAGACTTAGTGGTTGCCAAGGGGGAGGAGGGGTGGGGGAGGGAAGGATTGGGAGTTTGGGATTAGCAGGTGCAAACTATTATATATAGAATGGGCAAACAACAAGGTTGTACTATATAGCACAGGGAACTATTTCAATATCCTGTGATAAACCATAATGGAAAAGAATATGAAAAAGAATATATATATATATATATATATATATATGAATCACTTTGCCGTGCAGCAGAAATTAACACAACATTGTAAATCAACTATACCTCAATAAATTTTTTAAAAAATAAATTTAGTTATTTATTTTTGGCTGTGTTGGCTCTTTGTTGCTGTACGCGAGCTTTCTCTAGTTGCGGCAAGTGGGGGCTATTCTTCATTGCAGTGCACCGGCTTCTCATTGCGGTGGCTTCTCTTGTTGCGGAGCACGGGCTCTAGGCGTGCGGGCTTTAGTAGTTGCGGCACGCGGGCTCTAGAGCGCAGGCTCAGTAGTTGTGGCTCACAGGCTTTGTTGCTCCATGGCATGTGGGATCTTCCGGGACCAGGGCTCGAACCCGTGTCCCCTGCATTGGCAGGCGGATTCTTAACCACCAGGGAAGTCCTACCTCAATAAAATTTTTAAAAAATGTTTGTTTAAAGAATGATTTGAAATTACATTGAACTCTTTAACCCATTTGGAAAATATTATGATCGAAAGTGAATCTACAGATTTTTCCCCTATTAATTTAGCATTTATTGAGCACCTACGGTGTTCCAGGCACTGTGCAGGTCCTTGAGGGGAACATAATCCCTGCCATCCTGGGCCTCAAAGCTGAGAGGAGGAGACAGATTTTCAAGCTATGGTTTATGGTCAGGGGGTAACAGGGATGGGAGCTGGAGTCTATGGGAAGAGAAAAGAGGACACATCATTGTCGTAGAGGATCTGGGGAGACAGCCTGTAGGGATGACACTTAAGGAAATGTACTCCAGACAGGAGAAAATGCACATGCAAAGGAAGATATGGTGAACTTTGACTAAGTCAAGATGTTGGTGGGAGGGGAGCTGGAGGGACAGGCAGAAGGGTGTGTCAGAAGCAGCTCAGACTTTATCTGATAAAATGGGGCCCATTGGAGGCAAGTTACTTTATTCCAAAGATTCATCTCTCTATTTGTCCCAGTGTCACTCTGTTTTAACTACAGTAGCTTTAGAATATATTTTAATATCTGATACTCCACTTTTTGCAAAATTCCTGGGCTATTTTCACTGTCTTTTTTTTTTCCTTCCCAATAAACTGTAGAATCCTGTCAAGTTTCCCCCATAAAAACTATAGTGGAATTAAAAAAATTTTTTTAAATAAAATAAAATGCATTACAAAACAGAAACAGGGACTTCCCTGTTGGTTCAGCAGTCAAGACTCCACGCTCCCAATGCAGGGGGCCCGGGTTTGATCCCTGGTCAGGGAACTAGATCCCACACATCACAACTAAAAGTTCCCACATGCCGCAATTAAAAAAAAGAAAAAAATCCCACAGTCCTCAATGAAGATCCTGCAGGCGGCAACGAAGATTCTGTGTGCCACAACTAAAGACCAGGCTCAGCCAAATAAATAAATAATATTAAAACAACAACAAAAACAGAAACAGACTCACAGTCTTCAAAAACAAACTTATGGTTACCAAATGGGAAAGGTGGGGGGGAAGGGATAAATTAGGAGTTTGGGATTAACATATACACACTACTATGTATAAAATAGATAAGCAACAAGGACCTACCCTGTATAGCACAGGGAATGCTACTCAATATTCTGTAATAAACTATATGGGAAAAGAATCTGAAAAAGAATGGATACGTGTATATGTATAACTGAATCACTTTGCTGTATACCTGAAACTAACACAACATTGTAAATCGACTCTACTGTAATATGAAATAAAAATTAAATTAAAAAAATTTAAAAATGCACACATACACAGAAAGCTAGATCCAAGAAACCACATAAAAATAAATGTATAACTTAAGGAGTTCCTAAGGGGCAGTTCTCAACCAGGGGCGATTTTGTCCCTTGGGAGATATTCAGCAATAACTGGAGACATGTTGATTGTCAGGATGGAGTGGGGGGAAGGGCTGTCCTTGGTCTCTAGTGGGTGGAGGCCAGGGATGTTGCTAAACATCCCGCAATGTACGGGGTATTCTCCCACAACCAAGAATCATCTGGCCTGAATGTTGATAGCGCTGAGTGTGAGAAGCTCAGCTGGAAGGCAAACATCATTTTAACCCCCACCCAGGTCAACAAAGAGCATGTCACCAGCGACCCCAGAAGCCCCTCCAACAGGCTGCATCCCAATCACAGTGCCTCCTCGCTCCGCAAAGGAACCACTGTTGTGACTTGTGTGATAGTAACTGCCTGGCATTTCTGAATAGTTTATCATGGAAGTTTGAATCTCTAGACACTGTGGTTTAGTCTTGCACATGCAAAATATATATATATATATATTTATCTTTTAAGTCTCTTAATTCATGGGTTCCCCTCTATCCCTTCCCTGCCTTGCAATAAATCGATTGCACAACTCAGGCTGTTTCCCACGGTCTGGGTGGTTCTGATCCCATCCTCGTGGTGCACGCTGGCATGGTTCTCTGTCCTTCATCTTCCAAGCAAATTTGCAGTTGTTTCCAGAACTGGGATTAGACTAGGGTTTGATGCCTTTGGCCCGATTGTGGGTGCTGTTCGTCCCATCAACATCAGGCTCACACTCTTTGTCTCTCCTTGCATGAGGCCAGCAGCCATTGAGAACTAACTTGGTGGTGAATGCAGAATAGCGATGTCCTCCTCCTCGAATTTTGTCCTTGTTTATTAGCTAAAATTCTTCCCTTGCAGATGTTTCCCTTAGGTTCCATTTGGTCAGCTAGTGGCACGTTCATGTAGGAGTGCTTGATTCTTTCCCTTTAGAGACTACTTACCTAAATAGTGAATTAATTCCCCCATAATCCTCTGAAAGTGATAAATTAGGCTGGTTCTTTTTTTGATTGAAGCATAGTTGATTTACAATATTGTGTTAGCTTCTGGTGGACAGCAAACCCACACGCACCACAATGAAGAGTATATATATATATTCTTTCTCAGTCGTTTTTTTTTTTTTTAACCACGCTGCAAGGTTTGTGGGACCTTAGTTCACGGACCAGGGATTGAACCCACACCTTCAGCAATGAAAGTGTGGAGTCCTAACAACTGGACCAGCAGAGAATTCCCCAGATTCTTCTTCATTACAGGTTTTTACAAGACATTGAATATAGTTCCCTGTGCTATACAGTAAGTCCTTGTTGTTTATCTATCTTATGTATAGCAGTGTGTATCTGTTAACCTCAAACTCCTAATTCACTCCTCCCTTTCCATAGAAAAGTTTGTTTTCTATGTCTGTGAGTCTGTTTCTGTTTTGTAAATAAGTTCATTTGTATTATTTTTTAGATTCCACATATGTGATATCATATAATATTTGTATTTCTCTGTCTAATTTATTTCAATTAGTATGATAATCTCTAGGTCCATCCGTGTTGCTGCAAATGGCAATATATCATTCTTTTTTATGGCTGAGTAATATTCTATTGCATATATGTACCACATTTTTATCCATTCATCTGTTGATGGACACTTAGGATGCTTCCATGTCTTGGCTACTGTAAATAGTACTGCTATGAACATTGAGGTGCATGTATCTTTTGGGTTTTTTTCCTTTTAATATTTATTTATTTTTTATTTTTTAGCTTCATTGGGTCTTAGTTGTGGCATGTGGGATCTTTCCTTGTGGTGCGCAGGCTCAGTAGTTGCAGTGTGCAGGCTCTGTTGTTGTGGCGTGCAGGTTTAGTTGCCTCACGGCAGGTGGGATCTTAGTTCCCCACCAGGGATCAAATGGGTGTCCCCTGCATTGCAAGACGGATTCTTAATAACTGGACCACCAGGGAAGTCCCACATGTATCTTTTTTGAATTAGAGTTTTCGTCTTTTCCAGATATATTCCCAGGACTGCTGGATCACATGATAAACCTATTTTTTAGTTTTTTTAGGAACCTCCATACTGTTCTCCATAGTGGCTGCACCAATTTACATTCTCACCAGCAGTGTAGGAGGGTTCCCTTTTCTCCACGCCCTCTCCAGAGTTTATTATTTGTAGACTTTTTTTTTTTTTGGCTGCCTTTTGTCTTCATTGCTGCGCACAGGCTTTCTCTAGTTGCGGTGAGCGGGGGACTACTCTTCGTTGCGGTGGGTGGTGGCTTCTCTTATTGCCGAGCACGGGCTCTAGGCACGTGGGCTTCAGTAGTTGTGACTTTCAGGCTCTAGAGCCCAGGCTCAGTAACTGTGGCGCAGGGTTGCTCCGCGGCATGTGGGATCTTCCTGGACCGCGGCTCAAAGTCGTGTCCCCTGCATTGGCAGACGGATTCTTAACCACTGAGCCA